ACAAAAGGTTAATATTTTTTACAAAAGGTTAATATGGTTAATAACCAAAAAAAAATAAAACATAATAACTGACCAAAAATCCTAAAATTAATGACTATGATTAGTGCAGGGTTTTATTTAGTTATTATGTTTTCATTTTCTTCTTGGTTATACTTGCCAATTTCCCTTTACAAAATTCAATATTTTATTTTATTTTATTTTATTACAAATAATAACTGTGGAATTTTGCACTTGAAAGGACTGTGTGGAATTTTTCTAAAGATCCTTGACTTGAGAGCATAAAAGATGGTTCCTTTAGCAGTCTCTCACATTCCATAGGACGCAGATGAGAGATGACAAATGACGATAGCAAGAATTGATCACTTTCGTTAACTTGAAGTTGTCAATGTTCACATTTTCTTTTACTAGATTGTTGTGGTTCTACTGCGTTTTGAGAAAGAGTTAATGGTTTAATATCATAATAAAACTCTTATTCGACATTTGTAACAATGTCTATAACTTCCACACACAGCCTATAACTTAAGCACAAACCCCAAGAAAAAGATAAAGTTATCATCTTGATAGCAAAATTCACGTCTTTCCACATATCCGACCAAAGGATTTAGTGAGATTCTTCATCTTTTTATTCACTCGGTCATCGTCGTCATCGAAGCAACGACTTTCTGTATGATGCTCTTAAGCGAGGGTGCGCTAACAGAACACTTGTTATCCTCAAAGCATGACTTACCTTGTTCTGCTGCTTTGCAAAGCTGTGGATCCAAAGGAACTTTCCCAAGAAACGGTACTCCCATTTCCCGACACATTCTCTCTGCACCGCCACCGCTGCTGTCAAACACTTCGCTGCAAGCCACGACATTGAGAAGCTCTGGTGCGTTCTGTCTTATGCAAGAGATGATGTCTTGGGTCACATCAATGGAGGAACCGGTCTCTGTCAGCTTCATGAATTTGACATCCGTCAACGGCTGAGACAAACCGCTCATGTTCTCTACTACTCCTAGCACAGGGACTCCAACTTTCTTGCAAAAGCTCACTTCTTTTCTGACATCAATCAAGGAGACTTCCTGTGGGGTCGTGACAATGATGGCACCGTCAATCCCTGTGGCTTGAAGGTACTGAACAATGGAGATGTGTTCGTCTGAAGTCCCTGGTGGGGCATCAACCACAAGGTAATCGACCTCTCCCCAGTACACGTCTTTTAAGAACTGTTTGATGAGACTGTTCTTGCGTGGTCCTCTCCAGATCACAGCGTCATCAGTGTTTGGGAGCATGAAACCTATAGACATGACACCAAGGTTGTCTTCCACATAAACCGGGGACCATCCAAGGTTGCTCTGGTGAATCTCTTGCCCTTCAAGGCCTAACATTTTTGGGATGCTCGGGCCGCATATATCTATGTCCATCAGGCCTACGTTATGGTCCATTCCCGCCAGGGCAAACGAGAGCTGAGCTGAGAAAGTGCTCTTACCAACCCCACCTTTGCCAGACAAAACCAGAATCTTGTGCTTGACAGTGCTCATTCTCTCTGCTATGGCAACCAAATCTGAATAATAAAGAAACTGTCAATGAAACTATCAAATGAATCTGAGATTGTGAACACATATGGCACTAAATCCGACATTAGCATCAAACAAATCATTGTTCTAATCGCCACAAGGTCTTAACAGAACAATATGTAGCCAGTAAAAGGAAGCCACAACTCCCACAGAGCTCACAGAGTTTCAAAAGCCTATTTACAAATCTATAGAACTCCAAATAACATACAGATTAAGAATCAATCGAACATGAATGAAGTAAATGGTAGATACAATACAAGCTCTTATAAACACATTGAAGCAAAACCCATGTCGTTATCGTGATTTTACCAAAGGAGTCTAGAAGAAACTTCAAAACCCATCAATTTCAACAACAAAAAGAACGAGCTTGTGGGATTGTAAACCCAGTATGAACTCGAAAGCAGAGACATGCAAAAACCTAGCGAAAAGTAACTCGAGTGAAATCGAGGATCGAGCAAAAGGGGTTAAAATCGAACCTGGGTCAGGTCCCTTAGGAGCAGTGGCACATGTTTCCTGATTGGGGCAACCTGCACAAGAATCTGACTTTCCAGCAGATTCCGATTGAGGACCTGGGCAATCTATTCACCAGCAAACCAACGAATAAGTAGAAAATTAGGTTAAACCCAGAACAAAGAACGCATGAACTGTAAAAGAAAGAAAAAACTGGATTGTATTTGACTTACGCTCGTTGGCGTTCTCTGGGATATCTCCGTTCTCCATGTCGACCTTTCTGAATTTCCGATTTGGTCTCTCACAAGCTTCGTTTATATGCGAAACCCTCTTATGGCGGCGAAGGTGTAGAAGACGCGTGGAGAAACCAATTCTCTCGAGAAATATTCCAAACAAAGCCCAGTTATATACTAAGGGCCCATTTATTTTTTATAGTGGGCCTTCTCGACCGATTCGAATATTGTTGCAAGTTGAATGTAATTTTAATTTTCTGAAGGAAAATCATAGGATCTTACATTTGATGCTTACACTCTTAGTTTTTGAAAGATGAGAATGTAAGTCTTTTTCTGTATGCATCATTATTAATTAGATTTTTTTTTTTTTGTAGAAATTATCCGTGGTTAAAAAAATATGGGTGTTAAAATGGACGGATTGATCCAACGCAAATCGAATTCAAAGAGTTTGTAGTGTGTAGTGAGGATGGTTTTGTCTTTTTAAAATATTTGTTCTATATATTGTTATCAAATACACGGCTGGATTTGGATAATGATGAAAAAGCAAGAAGTCGACTTTATTCACAAATGTAAGAGTCATACTCATATAACCCTACCCATTCACATGCAATGAAAATGAAACTCCCAGCTTTGCAGGCAACTAATATAAAATAACACAAATAAAAGAAGAAGCAAGCTCTTGAAATTCAATAAAAATGGTATAACAAATTTTTAGTATAAAGCCAAGAAAGAGGGAATATTTCTAATTCACATAAAAACAAACGGGACACACTCATGTATGTGTGTATAAAACAACAGATAAAATACACAACTATATATATAATACTGGAGTAGCATAGTCCTTGTGCTATGGACAAGTCATAAGTGAAAATGAAGCATCACTTTCTGGGTGGGTATATATATTTGTATCAGTTTTAACCAATAGTTCACTACCGGCAAATTCAGATGCTAATAGATTTATACCAAAACAAAGTGTAAACAAAATTAACAAATATTTAGAGTTAAACGAATCACAATCTTATATAATATTTTAAGGTTTTTCAAAATCAAAGCTATGAAAGACTGTAATGTGACAACTACTCTTTTGACATTTTTTTTTTTAATTCATTTATTAAAATAAAACAAATATTAAATATCTTTTATTAAATTTAGCAATTGATTCTTAATATTTAATAGACAACAAATTACAATTAAGTTTTTGTGTATATTTATATAATTCTTATGTAAATTATTATCCTTTAATGTAAATTTAGTATAGAAATTATATATTTTAGTTATCAAATGCAAAAATATTTTATACAATTTTTATCTATACTATGAACAATTAAAAAATCACAAAAAGCTAAAATAGAATAAAACATAATATGGAAAGAAAAAAACATGATGTGAGAAAATTAAAGAAAGATTTTAGGACTTTTAAAAGTGTTAAATCCAACAAGTTTGATTGGAGAAATTTAGAATTGGAACATTTTTTTAGATGCTTTCATAGTTTTTAATGCCAATTTACTAATCACCATGTAAAGCAATTGAAACAATTTGTGTTGGACAAAGTAACCAAAACTCTCCTTCATGTGAATCCAGAAAAATATATCTGTTGAGATGATATAGATGTCTCGGTAGAAGGAAGGTATACTACAACTTGTCTTACAATAGATTTGTAGCAACTTGTTGTATTTGATGCAAAAAGATGATGAATCACTTTTTTAGGAAATTGTAGTGAATATTGATTCAGACGTACTAAAATGTCTTCCTTATGATGTAATTTTTAGTAATGAACGGTCTATTTTATATATATATATAACATTGTAATTTGCTGCAAAATGTTTGGTCTTCTAATTTAGATAATTATTTACTATAACCACCAA